TATATATATATATATATATATATATATATATATATATATGTAAAATATATTTATACAAAAAAAGCATCTCTTCCGTTCTCCAACGATGGAAAGTGGAGATTAATCTCGACCTTTTGTCATCATTAATGGCCCTTGAATGTCCATTGGTTTGCCCAAGTGCGAATACTCCGTTGGTGCACGACATACTTCTCCTTCTCTTCTTTTCTGGTATTTAATGAATTGAATATGGTCTCAGAACTTCACCCTTCTCGTCCCTTCCACGCCCATCCCCAAATTAGAAAATTTCCTTATCCATTTGTATATAAAAATATGATACGTTTATTACCCAAAGAAAATTAGAATTGAGGCAAAAAATGGTGATGGCGCCAAATAAAGAAATGGAGGGTTGTTTTCATTTGCAGGTTGCTTTTGACAAAATTGGTTCAATGACAACCAATGCCATCACTAAACAGAGGAAGAAACAAGAGCCAGCAGTCATGGCTGAACTAGACCAGCGACTGAGGCGCCTCAATTCACTGAAAGAAGAAAAATAGCCTTTCCATTGGGAGGCGAGCTTAAGTTTCGCGGCACCTCTGCCATATAAAGCATTTGCTTCGAGTTCTACCCACTAGCTGAGCAAGGACACCATAACAAGTTGATGTTTTGCTGTTCAAAGGCATAGATAAAGTGCTTAGAGAAGTCACCATGGCACCTCCTCTTTATGGTTGGAGTTAGGGTTTGGGGGTGGTTTTTGATATGTAGAATGTGTGAGAGTCTTACTTGTGGAGTTTCTGGGTGTGTGCTACAGTTTGAGAAGAATCAGGACTGGAGTTTCGATGGTTGATGTATCATGGGGAAACCTATGCGAGAGTCAAGGAGGCGGTGGGACTGTAAAAAATGTGAAGTTTTTAACTGAAAAGGTGTCGGGAAAAAAGGACACAGAATTGTGATGTAAATTCAGAGGTTAGCAGCTCAATTGCTGCGAACCACAAATATTTATTCTTTTGTTAACCAAGTGCCATATTTAAATTACTAGGCAGGATAAATAGAACCGTGAGATATGTTAATTTTAGGTCTCGTGTTTCCCCCAATTTTTCTGAAGGAAATAGTTTATATGAGTGCGTGGCTCTAAACAATCAAATTAGGGTGCACTTCAAAAATTTCACCTCTAATTGGTCATCTCGACCTCATGATGTATGGACATGAGAAAAAATAGATTTCAAGTTTTTGAAATAGTGTATTTTGTAACGTATTTTTGGACTGTTATTTTTTAAGATTTTAAAGTTTTTATAGCTCTTCTTGATTTATACCATTTTTGAAGCTTTAAATTATATAATTAAAGATGAAAATATAATTTACGGCTATTACAAAGATTTTCAGTATTGAGCCACATTTCTCGATATTATTAAGGTGCATTTGACTTTGATTGTTTAGAGCCTCAGCTTTATACAAACCGACCTTTTTCTAAAATAACATTGAAACCACATTTCTCTGACACTATTAAAGTGTGTTTTATTTTGATTGTTTAGAGCCTCGGCTTTATACAATCCGAGATATTTATAAAATAACAATCTCAACTTAGAATATGTTGATTCTCTCTACTTGCATTCCAATTTTGGTCTTCCATTTCTTTTATCTCTAATGTAGGACACTCTTGATGGTCCCTTAAGAGTTTTCAAATTTCGTTTTTAGTTGAAATAAGTTTTTACATGAGGATTTGAAAGTTCAAAATTATTATATATTTCATAAGTTAGACTCACATTGTGCATGTAGGGGTGGTAATCTGGTCGGTTAACTTGACGACTCGATAGGTCGGTCTGGATCCGGGTTTGGGTTTGGGACCTAGTGGGATTGGTCCAAGTCCAAGAACCCTAGACCCAATCTAGATCCTGGTCAAGTTAGGTCAGTCCGGCTTCGAGTAAATCTATACACACGTAGTTATATATATGAGATTGTCTATAAAGAGACCATTTATCTCTTGCATAAAGAGGTCATAATCATTTTTGTCCTTTAAATTTTAAAATTGAGAGTCGTAGGAGTGTCATTAAATAGACTCAAGCTTTTAAAAAAGTTTATCAGACTTTGTGACTCACTCCAAGCCATCCAATTTGAGATTCTATTATTTAAAATAATAGAATCTATTAAAAATATCAAAAAAATAATTCCTAAAAAATAAATTAACTTAAAATACCCCCAAAACTTTTTAGGGATATTTTGGTCAATTTATTGATTGTACTTTTTTTAAAATCCTTTTATTAGGTGTGCCTTGATGAGAGGAATGGAAGTTTAAAATTTCATGGTATTTGGATTTATAGAAAAAATATTAAAATTATATATAAAATGAGGTCGTGACCATTAGATCGGCCTAGATTCAATATGGGCTATTGGGCTAATACTGTAGCTATTAGCTAGTGAGCTAATCTCATATATATATATATAGCCTAGGCTCTAAATAATAAAATTAGAGCCTACTTAAAAAATTTCACAAGAAGAGGTTGTTTTAATGCCCAATTGTCTTCTAATTGATCATCTTGACATCATGCTGCATGGACATAAAAAATGATTTTCGAGGATTGAAAATAGTGCATCTTGTAACGCATTTTTGGACCGTCAATTTTCAAGACTTTCATGTTTTCATAGATCTGCTGGATCTATATTATTTTTTAAGCTTTAAATTTTATAATTAAATATCAATATATATTTTAAGGCTATGACAAAGATTTTCAATATTGAAACCACATTTCTCAACACTATTTGAAAGTGGTTTACTTTGATTGTTTAGAGCCTTGGCTCTATACAAACCACACCAATTATATATGTGACATTTCTTTTGAAATATTATATTTTGATAAATTTGCCTATCTATGTATGATTTGTGTGTATATTCATACATTTGAAATATATTTTTTTAATATCCTTTTCAATTTTTTTTTGTTATGTTCTCTCGTTCTAAGATTTGGACCCAATGGATCGAGTACAAGCCCAAAACCTTGTACCTTAGTTGGTTCTAGATTGGGTCCACGTTTAGGTACCTGGACCCCACCCAATGCAACCCATTGCCTCCGCATGGACAATTGGCTAGTCGTAAAGTAAGTTACGTTGCAACATACAAACTTTAGCCTTCATAGTTATAAGAGGAAAAAAGTTGGCTAGTTGTTCCAATGAAATTAAGTTCATCCCTTCCTTTAATAGAGTGCCTTTTACAACTCTTCCAAGCGATTTAAGAGTTTCTTTGGAGCGGGACATTTCGTTGGAGGAGTTAAAAAAAGTGTTTTTTTTTTATGCCGAGAGATAAAGCCTCAGGTCCAGATGGCTTTCCTCTCACGTTTTTTTCATAAGTTTTGGGATTTGGTAAAGATGGAGCTTCTGGAGTTTGTCCGGGGCTTTATGATTAGGGGGATATATTCAAAGGGGTGAACTCTACTTTTTTGGCGCTAATCCTAAAGAAGGATGTGATTTCGTGTCTTTCTGATATTTGCTTGATTAGTCTTCTTACCAGCCTTTATAAGATTTTGGCAAAAGTGTTAGCTGAGCGACTTAAAACAGTCTTATCTTCGGTGATATGGGCAAACCAGTCAGCCTTTATCAAGGATAGACAGATTATAGATAATGTTCTTATTGCTCAAGAATGCATCCATTCCAAAGTGCTCAATAGGAAGCCTGATATTTTATTGAAGTTGGATATAGAGAAGGCCTATAACTGTATGGACTAGTGGATTTTGTTGGAAATTTTGAAATGTTTGGGGTTTGGAGAGAGGTGGAGTAGGTAGATTTTTGGATGCATGTCACATTTTTCCGTACTATTTAAGGGTAGTCCTAACGGTTTCTTCCAAGCATCTAGAGGTCTTCGTCAGGGGGACCCTCTATCCCCTTTCTTTTTTACTATTTACGTTGAGTGTTTCAACTTAATGTTAAATAACGTAAAAAGGATTGGCCATTTTTCTAGGTTCGTTATGGCTAATTCTGATCTCATTATTTCCCATCTTTAATATGCAGATGATACCCTTATTTTCTGCTATGCAGATCCTTTACAGGTGGAGAAGGTGGCTTTGTTTCTAGATATCTGTGAGGTGACTATTGGCTTTAAAGTGAATTTTCATAAGTCATCAATTGTAGGGATAAATATCAGTGAAACGGTGGTGGATGCTTTGGCGAAGGTGCTGGGATGCATAGTGGATACTTTACCCATTCTATATTTGGGTCTACTGATCTCTGACTCTAGGTTCCCAATATTAGTCTGGGATAGGGTACTGGAGAGAGTTCAAGCTAAGTTGGATTTATAGAAACCAAAGTATCTCTCGTTGGGGGGTAGGGTGACTCTTTTAAAAGCTTGTTTTGCTAACCTCCCTGTTTATCAGATGTCTCTTATCCAAATGCCGACAGTAATAGTATAAAAGATTGAGAAGATGATGAGAGACTTTTTGTGGGGATCTAGCAATGAGCAGCGTAAGTTTCATTTGTTAAGGTGGGATAGGGTTTGCACACCAAAAAAGAACGAAGGTTTGGGTATTAAGAAAATCAAACTGGTAAATCAAGCATTTTTGTGCAAGTGGTGGTGGCGCAGTCTTCATTTTAGAGATCAACTCTGGTATCTGGTATCAGGTCCTCCTAACGAAATATGGTATTGATCAGATGGGACTATGGCTTGGAAAAAGGGAACATGGTAAAACTTCACATCTATGGAGGAACATTGCCATTTGTAGATCAATTGTTGCTGGTTCCTGTAGATGGTTTACGGGAAGTGGGGTCTCAATTTCTTTTTGGCATCATATTTGGGTTGCGGAATATCCTCTTAAATCTATCTTTCCGGAGTTATTTGACGTGGTTTTGATGCAAGACGTTATGGTCTGTGATGTGATTGAGAGAAGAGGAGCTGCTTGGTCCTGGAATATTCCTTTGATTTACAACATGATTAATGATACTCGGTTTGAGCAGTGGTGCACTTTTATAAAATTGCTCGATGAGGTGTATGTCTCTTCAGAGGTTGTAGAAAAGATGGTTTGGGTGCTGGAAAGTGATGGCCTCTTCACCGTAAAGTTGCGCTATAATCTCCTTTTCAATGATCGGTGGCATTGGTCGTCTCCCCAAGTAGCCAAAGTATGTCTAGTTCATATACTTCAATCTTCATACACCCAATCCTTCCTCAAACTTTGGAGTACGAACCCTAACCCAGTTGACTAGATGGTACTTTTTTCCATTATCGATGGAACCCCATAAATATCTGCATGAGCATTCGATTTATTTTGCAACTGTTGAAGAAATTTATAAATAACGACATCTGATAAATGGGCAAATTAGGCATGGAAGATTTAATAAGAGTTATATATCCTTCAAGGGAAAGCACGTTGGGATTCCAGATATCTAATTTAACATTCATTCTGCTAAGAACTGTATCCCAAATAGATCTTAGAGGTCGTGAGTCAAAAATAGGAAGGCCTAAATAAGTAACAAGAAATTCTTCCACTTCGCACTCCAGCACATTAGCTAACTCATAACCAAATATTCCTCACAAGCCACACCAACAATAGATATTTTGTGAAAATTCACCTTTAATCCCGTTGCCATCTCCAAACACATGTAAAACCTCTTAATATTGGCCACTTGCTCCACTCATGCATCATAAAAAATTAAGGGATTGTATACAATAAGACCATTTACCTTTGATACAAGGTGGTCACAATTACTCACAACCATCCGGTGTGAAGTTTGATAACTTGGATGTGTCACGAAGTTCGAGAGAATTTCTTTTGAAGTTTGGGCTCGGTCAATGGAATAATTACAGCCACCCAATTTCACATCCAATGGTCAAGATTAATGTCTCACATTTTACCAAAGGCAAATGGTCTCATTCTATATTTTTCCAAAAATTAATGTGTCATCCGCATATTGCAAATGAGTAGCATCGTGTCCATTTTCAGCCACTTTGAAACTAGAAATATAGCCTCTCAAAGCCACATTCTGTAACATTAGGCTAAAACTCTTAGCAACCAAGGTCAATATGAGGAGAAATAGAGGGTTACCTTGCCGTAATCCCCTAGAAACTTTGAAAAATCTCTTCGAGCTACCA